GCCCGCAGGACACCCCCTCGGAACGCGCGGCCCACCGGGCTAAGTCATTTTAACAGCCTAAGAAATTGTCTTGTCTTCCCGTTCTTTCTTCTGCTGGCGAGCCAGGTAATTTTAATAAAGCGAAAACTCCCCGATCGTAACTTCTGGGCAGCCTGCCGGCATCGCCGCCCCCCCGTCGCTGGTCCTCCGCCAGCTGGGTGTCCGGCGGAGTCCGAGAAAGTTTTTTTTTAAGGCAAAAAACGCTAATACCTGACATGTCTTTCGATTCATAATTGCGATTGTTAGCTGAGCGGTCTGGAATTACGTTTCGCTCCCGTTCTCCGCTTTCAGATCAAATTGAAAATATCCCCAGTCTGCATCAAAAAAAAAGTTTTCTCATTTAGCACTTCAACTGTTAAGCCTGGGTCGGTAGCAATTCCCTAAATAGATCCTCTGCGTAGCCGTTAATTAATAGCATTTTGAACCAGAAACATTTTTAACCTTGAAAAAGCAAAGAATGCTCTCATGGTTGAAATTGAAACTTAGAATCCTTTGAGTAACGATTTAACCATTCAAGCAACGAAAGAAAAAAAATGCACGTTTAAACTGCATTAACCTGTCACAGGCATGCAAACAAATTTTCACGCTGAAATATAAATTATAGACTAGCAGCCAGATAAACACATTAAAATGGACTCCCACAATTTTATAATAGAAAGTCACGTTTCCAATTAGGCAGCGTGTTCTGTTTTTCTTTAGAAAAAATTAAAAATAAGAAAATACAGCAAAGGATACAGAATGCTCATGTGGTGTTTTGTGATTGTGGAGGTGTTTCTTTTTTATAATCATATATATATATGATTTCTTTTACATGTCTGCAATGCTTTCATTTTTTTCCTGCTTTTTCTTATTTAAAAAAAATTTAAAAACACAGAAAAACAAACAGGATGACTTCTAAAAATAGTCAAATAGTCTACCAGAGTTTTTGATGTACACAGCTTTACTTTTATGTTACTGAATTATGTGCATTTTATTTGTAATTCTTCAGTGCTTTTTCTTTAGAAAATTAAAAATACATATACATTTAGAATAACACATGTAAGTGTATATACTGCCTAGAATAAGTGTGAAATTTGTGTTATATTTGCTTCAGATTTTTTATTGATATTACACATTACAGGTAGAGTTGTCACATTATTTCCCTCCCAATCCCATTCACCTAGCTTCCTTTTTACTTCCTTAAGTAATCAGTATTATGAGGTGTGTATTCTTCCAGCATTTGTTATTATACTTTCATCACCTAATTATCTATAAGTGTAAATATATGTATATATCTATCTTATATATTAAAGGGTTTTTTGCAAATGGTACAATAGTGCACGTATCATTTTACAACTTGCTTTTCTCTCTCAATGTGATTTTGAGAGCTAACCTTGTTGATATTTACAGCATCTATTCACTTCATCAGTTTTAAAATAATATTGTCAGATTTATTGCTTTTAAGAACATTCCTCCCTAAAACAGACCAAAATTGTCTAAAGTTCCTTGCCTCAAAATTTTAGACTCTTAACTCTCAAACTTTGCATTAAAATTCTATCAGAGATAGAATTATTTAATAGCTGTTTTTATTTTAATTTTATTATTTAAAAAAATGTAAAGACACTAAAAATGCAGAGGGAAACTTAACAAGCACCCATGTCCCTGTCTCATATAATTAACAGATGTTAACATATTGTCATATCTGCTTCAGATCTATTTTTAAAAAACCGAAGTATTCAACATTTCTGATAAAGTTGAAGTCCCCTTTGTACTGCTTTCAATACCATTCTCCACCCTTTTCCCCAAAGGCAAACACTATCATGAGTTTGGTATGTAACTTTTCAATCTAGGCTTTACATTTTTACCACATACGAACCCTTAAAATACAGAATATTGCTTTATATGATTTTTTAAACGTACACATGTGGTGTCAGGCTGTACGTATCATTTTGTGACTTTTTTTTTCCTTCATAGTATGGTTTTACTTTTTCTCTTCATGTCAATACGTATAGATCCCATTCATTCATTTTAATTGCTGTGTTGTAGATACATGCATATGAATGTGCCGTGTTTATTTATTCCCCTATTGATGAATATTAAACTGCTGCCAATATTTTGATATTATTTATAATGTTTCCTTTGCACGTATGTGAGAATTTCTCTGTGCATCTACCTGGATGGGAAATTGCTAGACTGCACACACGTATTTAGTTTTATGAGAGACTGCCAAGTGGCTCTTTGATTTGCACACCCATCAGCAGTGTATGCGAGTTTCTTGTTTCCCTCACATGACCTTTAACGCTTTCTAGATTCAGACTTTTCTTATTCTTGCCAATTTGATTTTTTAAAAATCCAGTATCTTGCTGTTTTATTTGAATTTCCCTCACTGTTAGTGAGGTTAAGCATTTCTTTATATATTCATTGGCTATCGAGGTTTCCAAGCCTGTGATTTGTTTTTTCAGAGTCCTTGTTCATTTTTCCAATGGACGCTGTGTATGTTTTATCTTTTTTCCTCTTGATTTGTAGGAGTTCATGCATATAAACATTAAATATATTGTCTCAGTCTGTGGCTTGTATTTTAACTGCTTTTGATGTCTTGTGTACTATTGGAAATTTAAAATGTAGTCATATTCATTGATCTTTTTCTTTATAGTTCGTGTAATTTTATACTGTTAAGGAAACCTCTGCACACCTGATCTAGCCTCTTATATCTGTTTTCCTTAATGTTTAAAAGTTTTGCTTTCCACACATGAAATTGCTCCGAGACTTATCTTTTTGAATGATGAAGGTAGGAAATTTAATTTCACTCCTCCTCTCCCCCAATATGGAAACCTGTCTTGACCCTGTTGACTGAATAGTCCTTCATGTCCCCATTAATGTGTAATGCACCATGATTATAAATTAAATTTCCTTATGTTCATGGATATGTTTCTAGTTTGTCCTTTTCCACTGCAAAACAGTTCTGAGCCAACATCACACTCTTAATTATAATGGCTTTAGAAGAAGTCTTGATGTGTAAATATGTCCCCTCTTTGTTCATTAAAAAAAAATTATACGGGGTATTTTTGGGCTTCTACTCTTCTATACTAACTTTAGCATTAGTATGTCAAGTTCCACTAGAAAAACTTTTTTGGTATTTTGCTTATTTAACTAACTAGACAATTTAACTAATATTTATCTAAATGTATAGGTTACATTTTGGGAGCTATGACAACTTATAAAATTGAGTCATCCAATGCCTTAATATTCTGATTTTTAAATATTCTTCAGTAACATTTTATAATCTGTTTATAAAACTCTTGTGCCTCTTTAAGACTTATTCCTAGATACCTTACGGCTTTTGCTACTATTATAAGTGAGATCTCTTTTCTATGAAGTTTTTAATTGATTATTGCTACTGTTGAGAAATGCTATAGATTTTGGAATAATCTTATTTTGGCAAACATGATGAATTTCCTTGTTTGTGAAATAGTTTATTTGTATATTCCTTTGCAGTTTCCTGTATATAATCAGATTATCTATAAATAACACTACTGATATCTTTCTTTTCTCATTGGATGGACTGGTACTTTCAAAACTCATCAAATAGGAAGGGTGGGCACAAGCACTGTTTTCCTATTTCTATCTCATTGAGAATGTTTCTAATTGTCATTATTACTTATGGTATTTGTTGTAAGGTCTTAGTAGAAACAAACCCTTTATCAGGTTAAAGGTTTAACCAGTTGTGTTTAAAGGAGGAATATTTTTAAACTCTGAAATGAATACTGAAGTTTTATTAAATGCTTTTTCTAAGAAATATTGATGTTTTGTCCTTTGATAGGTTAACATAGTGGGTCACACTGGTAGATTTTTCTCATGTGGACTTAACTTTGCAGTATGAGATAAACCTTGCTTTGTCATAGCATACGTTGGCTTAAAACATTCCTTTCTTGCGCTAGCTTTGTCCACTTTTGGTGTCAGGGGTATAGTACCCTTCGGAAATGCATTTGGAAATTTCCCTCCTTTTCTAATTTCTGGGACCACTTGTATGAAATAGGGAGCATTTGTCCCTTGAATGTTTAGTAAATCTCATCTATGAAACTGTTATATTTTGAGAATTCAACTCAATTTCTCTAATGATCGTTGGTTTACTCAGGTTTCCTATTTCTTCAATCAATTTTGGTAATTCATTTTTTTGTAAAAAATTAGATATTACACTTAAACTTTCAAAATTCTGGTTTATAGTAGTCTCTTAAAAATTCTTTATAGTGCCTGTAGTTATACCCTGTTATTCATTTCTGATATTACATATTTGTGAATTCTGTTTTTTACTTTTTTGTTTTAATAAGGGTTTGTATTTTAGACAAACCGTAGAGGTTTGTCTATAGTCTTTCCAAATAGGTAGCTTTCCTTGATCATAGCTTTTATTATATATATATGTATTTGTTTAATTTCTGTGTTTATTTTTATTAATCCCTCACACTTTTGTCGAGTTTAACATGTTATTCTATTTTTCTTTAAATGCTTTTCAAGTTAAATGCCTAACACGTTAATTTCCAATCTTTCTTATTTTCTAATATATAATTTAAGGCTATTAATTTCCCTTGAAGAAAAATTTCTCTGGCTTTATCTGTATCCCCTGCGTTTTCAAATAGTGCTTTTATTGCCATTCATTGCTAAATATGTTGTAATTTTTAAACACTAAATTTTCAGAAGGTGGCTTTCCCTGATTTCCCTGGTATTATATCACCTGAGCCCTTCTGTAAC